CCCCCCCCCTCGCACTACCATCCCTGCCCACTTATCTCTTTTCTCTAGTCATCACTTAACGGACTAAAGCAGTTGAAACTACTTTCTTTTCTTCTTCTTTTTTCCTCTTTTTTGGTTGACAACATCTTTTCTTTTTTCAATTGCAACTACTTATCTTTCCCTATGAATCCGTAAATCCTCGCATAACCTTCCCATTGCTGGTCTAGCTTAACTGCAGCAGTCAGCGGTGGAAATTATCATTTTGCCATAACTTATTTTCTTTTTGATTTATTCCATGAAGAGGCAGGACGACATGTACAAAAAAATTGAAGATGGAGGCTGACAACATACCCAGTGTATCCCATAGGTGGGGTCTGGGGAGGGTAGTGTGTACGTACACCTTACCCCTACATTGTGGCAGTGTTATCAAAGGCGCGCTTAAGCCCTAAAGCGAGGCTCAAAACATGTTGAGCGGTTCGCCTCACTTAACAAGCGCTTCAGTGTTGTCATCAAGGCTCTAAGGCATACTTTTCCTTGCCAATAAGTGTAGTCATGAACAATTGATATTTCACTTTATCATAAGTTCTCTTCAATTTCTTTGTCAATGTATTCAACATTCATGCGTATATATATTAGTCTTGGACTACACATACATATTTGTAGTTTTTCTCTATTTGCGCCTTTCTTCTTTAGCTTTGTGCTTAAAGCCCCAACAAATCTTAGAGTTGTTTTTTGCACTTTTCGCCTTTGATAACACTGCATTGTGGAGATAGATAGGCAGTTATGAAAAAAGGAAAATTTTAATTGAAGACTTTAAAGGAAAATTTGGCGGCTTATGACTGGTTAACACACACGCACACACAATAAAAAATAAAAATAATATATATATATTTATATATAAATTTTCCAAAGGGGGAAGGAAGTATTAATAAGGAGTACTTTATCGAGGATTCCCACGTCTTTCATGTTTATGTTACATGCTCCGGTCTCTGTAACAAGGAAGTTGGAAAAGATTCAGAGGAACTTTTTATGGGACTCTACAAGTGGAGAAAGAAAGTTTCACCTGGTTAATTGGGAGACCGTCACCACACCAAAGTACAGGGGTGGGCTTGGGATTAGAGATCTAAGGGTGTTTAATAAAGCACTACTTGGAAAATGGCTATAGAGATTTGGAGTAGAGATGAATGCTCTCTGGAGGGAGGTGACTGCGGAAAAATATGGGGTGACAGAAGGGGGATGGAGGACTAAGAATACACTCGCTTATGGTTGCGGGGTATGGAATATCTTAAAAGGGTGAGAAGAGTTTTTTGGGAATGTATCATTTAGGGTGGGTGATGGTAGTAGACTAAGCTTTTGGGGACATAAATGGTGTGGAAATAACACTTTGAGTATCACTTTTCCTAACATGTACAGAATTTCATGTCAAAAGAAGATGTCGGTTCAAAGTATACAAAGGATACAAGGTGGAGAAACACAATGGGATTTGAGGTTCAGAAGGATCTTGCAAGACTGGGAGTTTGTAGAATTCCAGGGATTGATGGAGTTGCTCCACAAGCAGAATAGTTCACAGAGTAGCCAAGATGGTTGGAGATGGGGGCGAAGGGAATATGGGTGTTTTTCTGTTAAAGTCCTGTTAAAGTCGTATTATGGAGCACTGCTGGATAAAGAGGAAGTAGTTTTTCCTTATTGTTTGGTGTGGATCCCTAGAGCATCGAGAAATGTGTGTTTTTTGCATGGCTAGCTACGAGGGGGGTGATTCTAACGGCTGAGAACCTGAGAAAGAGGAGAGTTACATGTGCCAGTTGGTGTTTCATGTACAAGTGTTTGGGAGAAAATGTATATCACCTTCTCTTACATTGTGCATCTCGCTTGTAGGGAGAGGTAATGGAGTTGTTTGGAGTTTAGTGGGTGATGTCTGGATATTCAGAGGAGGAGAAGGAGACGCATGGCATAGGATGTCACTCCACTTGCACTCATATGGATCATTTGGAGAGAGCGAAATAAGAGAGCTTTTGATGGGAGAAGAGATTTGTTCATTTCAGGAGTAGCCTCTTTTCTCTTATTATGTTTTGGTGCACCCATGAGATTCCTTTAAGAATAGAAGATCGGGTGTCTTTTGTACAGAACCATATTTTGTTGTGACGTTCTCTATTTTCGGTATACTTCTTGTATACGGGCATTTAGGCTCTTCATTAATGAAATTTTATTACTTTATCAAAAATATATATATACATATACGTATATATATATATATATATATATATATATATATATATGAATATTTTTCTCTTAGAAAAGGAACACCACCTCAAAACGACATTTTTCCAAGGTCATTATGAAAAAAGAAAAAAGAAGTGAGCATATGAAATTCACTTATGTATACGTTAGTCCTTGTTGTCAACTATTAGTCACACTAATGTTACAGTGTCTAATTGACCCTCGAGCAAAATCCTGGGTCTGCCACTGCAGCGAAGGCAAACAGCAGGCGATTATAAGAGCCGGAAAAGAATCCATGTTACTCTGCATGTGATATCATTTTCACCTATAACTAAATCCAGAGAAGGGAAACATATAGGAGATATTGGATGGGGAAAAATGAATTCTTTAACATGACATGATCACACGAGCCATTGACATAAATGGACAGGTTAACTCATCATGGCAGCTGCAGAACTTTCAACAAGTATGACATGATGAATAGTTGGACAACATACCTGGACACATATCAGGACATGACCCAATTATGACACCCGAAGAATCTGAGCAATGATAATCAGATAACAGATTGCCATTTGAGAAATCATCAGTTGAATCTACACTAACTTCTGCAGCAAATTTTTGTTCGTCCATAACAGATTGATATTGTCTCTTCGAGGGACCCTTCTGATGAATACTAGAATCATCTCGCACATTGTGGCTTAGGTCATCCTTGAAACGAGCTAAGCGCTTTGCCTTGGCCTCAGTTTCTCTGTCAACAAGAAAAGGATTTACAAAATAATAAACTTAGCAAGGATGAGCTGTAAATCTGCATAGTTTCTTACCGTTGAATATCATCATCTACATGATTGGAGTCACCTTGATGAACTTGACCAGATGAAGGTACGGAAGGAAACTTGGTTCTTTTGGAAACTGGAAAGTTCATTGGCTTACTCAGATCAACTTCAATATTGACACCATTTCCAGCCAGTGAAGACTTTTGAGGAGCTAGAGAGTGAGGGAGACCGTCTGACCTCATTTTGGAAGGAGAGGTGGAAGGCCTGAATAAACAATTTACGGAGAGCAGGAAATCAATGGCGAATTCATCCAAACTACTTTTTTCCTTCAAAATTCAAATGTATATATCCTTTTTTTCTTTTTTGCAGTACTCTCAATTCCGTGCTGTAATATAACAACTTATGGCAGATGTATATAAAATGTTGTCAAAAACGCAATTTCATATGCTTCTCATCAAAGTCTTCTTCAGTTGCCTTTTAAACTAGAAGTCATTGACATATTGATCCAGCCAAGATAAACTGAGGGAAACACAGATTTTTTTGAGTTTCAGATATGAATTGAGCCAACTATCAAGAAGGCTATCAGGATGCTCTGATGACAACCTTCTAGCGAGTTTATTTTGTTTATGTTCCATATTTATGCAAGAATCTAGGGTATTCGCCTTTCTTCCATATTCTTGTTTTTGTTGGAATCAACAAGGTCTACCAGCAGAAGGCTCTCCCAATAATTGCTTGACTGAAAAAAAGAAAATTTGCAGCATTTTGCAGGCTCCCATGACAATTGCTCGGCATAAGAAAGAAAATTTACAACACAGGTAACAATAAAAATAGTTCTGACAAGGAAAAAACTTAGTTTGGATAAGAAAAACACGTGAAACCTTGCACCTTTCAGGCAAGCCTTTTCATTGACATTCTGTGTGCTTGTCAAAGTAAAAATACACAGAATTAGCAGCAAGGATTTTTCTGTTGTACCTTTTGGATTCACGTAGACCAAAAGCTGAGTTTTCAAAAGAAGCGCCATTAGGAGATGAAAGAGGCGGGGACCTTGTTCTTTTTGAGACTTGGTCAGTATGCTTCACTGCAATCTTTCTTCCAGGATCATAATTTGTTGAAATCGAGGACATCTTTTGTTGAGGTAATCGGATTGGAAAGTTTTGGAATGACTGGGATGATTTGCCCAGCATATGAGGGGGCAGAGAAGGCCTTCATGACAAATCCACAGTAAAAGAGAGTTAGAACCTTCAATCAGAAGAATTGCCTACTGTTAAGTCAGTCACAAGTGGTAAACTGAGAAAGAGGATGGTCCTGAATGATAAGAACATAATTTTTGGGACAAAAAATGTAGCTTTACTTAGTAGAAGTTCTAAACATAATATCACTACAAGTATACCGAAGCATGAGAAATCCTCAATAAAAACATTGAAAGAGGAAAAAGATTTAACGGGTATAACAACTAGCAGGACTTCATGAGGACCAAATGACACGTGTAATCAGCCAATTGAGGATTAGAAGAAAAAGAATAGCCAAAAAGTGCATTCAAGAACTTAAATTAAGTATCTTTCTGTACACTTATCTGATAGAAAACCCAATCATCAGAATCCACTGCAACCAGCCCTACCATCATACAAATATTTCTCGCCAAAATTGCAAAATATGAAATTGCTTGCACTGACTTTATAAGCTTGTTCAGAGTTACAGAGCATCGGCCAAGAATAAAATAATGAAAATTTGATGTGGAAGAACAAAACCAGAGTACGCATGATCCTACAAGTATTCAGTGAGAGACGTAACAGATCATTAATAAAATATAACAAATAAATTTCTTCATGCAAGAGTTCTTTTATGCTTCTCAGATGTTCAATAGAACAAGATTGTCCAACAAACAAAAAGCATGCACATCTCAAAGAGAACTAAGCTGGTCCACAACCATCAGTTCAGTCATCAGATAGTTTACTTCAAGCTTCAAAGACTACCAAAAGAAGATTTTTTCCAAAGACCGCAAGACAAACCAGATTTTCTTTATTTCTTCAAGGTATCTACAATAAGAAATTACTCGATTAAAAATAAAAGATTTACATATGCATAGCACGTTTTAGAGGTAAGCAACCTAGTATCTATTTTTGGTTCAAACGGCAGCATGGATGCATATCCGACTGCAGATATTTTGAGAAGGTGAAATCCAATGGATGGTGCTTATGAGAAAAGGTCCAGGAAAGGACTTGAATATTTTGCTACTGCACCAGCAAGATGCTAATCAAATGCTGACTGTGTCTGGAATATGTTTCGGTTGAATGCATTATATGCCCAATTACTGAAAGGAATTGTTGTTAAGCACGAAATTTGGAACAGAGATAATGTGGTCGATAGTGAAGTAAGAAACTCTTGAAGGGACAGAGAACTGCCCATATCAAACTTCCTTTTTCCTTTTTGGTACATTTTTCAGCAACGCATGCTAAACCGACGTGTATAGATACTGGTTCTTTGTAAATAACTGTATTTTCTTTGTTAAGGTTCTATCGCGTACCTCTTTTACCAAGTTTTCTCTTTTGTCATTGTTAAACGCCGTAAGTGTAAAGATCCAAAGAGGTAAACATGGAGATACCAACAGCTTTTTAATGAAGAATATAAAATATTGTCGATTAATTTGGCTTCTGGTCCCTTCTAGTATCAATGAAATTAAAAAGTTTTTGCACTTTTCCTGTCAGGCAGTAATCCCTTCGACTTTCTCTTTCAAATATGACATAGTGAAGCTAAAAAATGATCATATCCTCTCTTCTAAACTATTGTGTACCTATTCTATCTCAAAACTTGAAAAAATAACAACTCTGCAACAACTGAAAGAAACCATGATCAGAGATACTTTCCTCAGCTTAGAGGATGATCTCAAAATAAAAATGGATAATTTACTGCATCTTCTCATAACCAATCCCTCGACAAGACCGCTTTGATCAGGTTATAGTTCAGACACCACCCAGACATCCATTTCTTTTTTTTTAATAATTGTTGCGTTGGGGCCAGCTTGCGTGCACCTCGATTAATTCCACAGGGGACTTGCTACCTCCTACCAGCACAGGTACCTGTAACTCTGTCCACCAAGGCTTGAATATATAAAAAAAATACCTAGTGCTTTTGCCTCCGCTAGGATTTAACCTAAGACCTCATAGTTTTCAATCCACTTCATTGACCATTAGGCCACACCCTTGGTGCCGCACATACCTCTATTTCTTTTTACTGGTGACACTCCTATTTGTCAATCCTTTAGACTGAGCCAAAGCGGACTATAGCAAAAGCCAAGATGTTGTATAGGAAATGGCATTAGGGTAGTACATTACGTGTATACTAGAAAGTCAAGATGGCATTAGGGTAGTACATTATGTGTATAGTTGCAATACCCAATGATATCAACTGCGGATTCAAGTCTTCTACCACAGCATGTTAATACCGAAAGTAAAACAAAAATATACAGCTATATGCATATGCTAGTTAATTGAGACAATATTCAATTAAAAAGCACCATGTGAGAGAGAGAAAGAAGTCATTGAGGCCAAACTAACCACTGAGCTTCACCAAGAGGACTTTGGCCATCTACGTGTACATTGTTCTGAAAAGCCAACGGAGGTGACCTTGTACTCTGGGGAACCAATTGACTCTTATTTTGGAATGATGGATATGATTGATTTTGCTGGGTAACAAAGTGGCCCTGATCACTGAATATCAAATCTGAACGACTACCAAAAAAAGTAGGGAGAATTAGAAAGCTCATGGTGCATTTTAAGTGCAAAAGTTAACAATTCCCACACTGTAACCATTAACAAACAAGACAGTATATTCTGCAGCAAAATGCTTATTGAGTAGTTCGAGCCCTTTTTTTTTCCCAGTTCCTTCTTAGGACAGTCCTTACACAAGAGAAATTACATCTAGAATCAAACGGAATGTTTCAAATAAGACAGAACAGTATTTTCGGGAAAATAGAAGGAAATAAAAATATACCTTCCCCTCATTGTCCTGGAGGCTCCCGAAATCTCTGCATCAGAAGGCAATGAAGGATGTAGCCCAGTTCTTCGAAAATCTTGAACTTGGGCACCTCTGGCAGAGAGGGCATTCTCAGAAAACCCTGAAGCTACAGGTGGCACTACTTCGGGAGATAGTTGGTGGGCTTGGGCATCATAATCATGGTAGATGTATTTTTGCCCATAACTCCATTTAGGAAGAGTCTCACTACGCCTACAGGAAAAGTTGACAAATTAAGTTAGCCTTAACGTGTAGATATAATCTCCAAAAATACATGACACCTGATCCTAAAAATTTCACGAATTAGGCATTTCAAATCGCTATTGCAAAAATCACCTGGATGAGTTGTGAATCAAGAAAAAAATAAGTTATTGGTAGATTGTCCAAGCAACTAGTTAATGGTTATTTGTCCAAAGAATAGTAACTATCACTCGTTTTGATTATTAAGGTGCTAAAATCTGCATTTCTTATAGAACGGAGAAAAAAACTGGCCGAGAAGCTAATATGCTTAATGTTTAAACATGATTGGCTGTTTCGCCACTAACGCCAATTAGACCAATTTACAAGTAGGATCGATGCCTTAAAACATTTACTTATACATAACTTATGATGAAAAGAACGTTGTTTGGGTGGAAGGTGTTTATAAGGTCATTTTCAAGTAGTAAGGAAAACGAAAAAATTGACATTTCCTTTTTTTTCATAGCAAGCAAACAAGTTATATTAGAAATGAACCAAGGGTGCAAAATATACAACAACAACAACAACAACAACCCAGTATAATCCCACTTAGTGGGGTCTAGGGAGGGTAGTGTGTACGCAGACCTTACCCCTACCCTAGGGTAGAGAGACTGTTTCCAAATAGACCCCCGGCATCCTTCCCTCCAAGAACTTCCCACCTTGCTCTTGGGGAGACTCGAACTCACAACCTCTCGGTTGGAAGTGGGCAAAATATGGTTTCAGATATATATTCTCTAACATCTTTTTGGGTTGTGGCCAACCATAGTTTAGAACATCCTCTACCACTCAAACAAATAATTGCTTGCACACACACTTATGCTACTGACAAAGGTAAATATAAACAAAAAAAGGAATTTTCAAGGTTTAATACCTCTGTTCTCCAGCAAAAGCGCGAGATGGAGCCGCTATAGGATGCCGTCCAACAAAAGGCAAGGGTTGTGGATGTATCCTTTCCGGAGCTTCAAATTCCCTGAACCAATTTAAAATCCAAATATTCAATGAAGAATTTGGTGTCATCGTCTCTAAACATCCTAACTTCTAGGTTTCTTCCAGTATTAAGAACTCCCTTTCGGTTAATCAATTAAAAGTAACCGCTGCCTCCAAAAGGCCAGTCAAGCATTACTAATTCTAAAAATATAAAACATACTTGAAGAAATCATAATTTTCCAGGAAAAATATTTCCAATTTCTGAATATGTCTAAAACACTGGGAAATTTGAACTGAATATGTTTGAACCCTGCTAGTTTATGAAGAAGCTGATATGAAAATGCAAAGAAGAAGAGAATACCTGGGAGATGAGGGGAAGGTAGGAGGAGGAGGTGAAGGAGTACGTGGAAAATTCCCAAAAGGGGTTTCCGCTTTCGGAGGGCCAATAGGACCTGTATTCTGCCTGAATCCCTGAAAAGCCATTCTACTTCTTGAGATTCAATCCCGACTGAATATGAATAGTAATTTGTTTACTCTCTCTTCATTTTAATTGATTGTTGGGGTTTTTCTTCAAGTGCATCTATCTGGGCTTCTCAGTATTCAGTTTTGCGGGTCCTGCTTCCTCTGAGAACGAACAAACGAAGAAGAGGGGAGAAATTCGAAAATAGTCAATTTACAACTTGTCATTTAAAATTAACTTCAAAAAATCAAAATTTAACCACTTTTATGTAAAGATAAATCTAAACGAAAATAATATTTAAAATTCAAAAAATACTCCAACTATAATGGAATTCCAGCATAATTATACTAGAACTCCAACATATTATAACGGAGTTCCAGCATAAATATACTGGAATTCCAGCATAATTATACTAGAACTCCAACATATTATAACGGAGTTCCAGCATAAATATACTGGAATTCCAGCATAATATATTGGAGTTACAATATAATATATAGATCTAGTATAATATGCTGGAAGTTTATACACATGTGCTCCAATATCTAGTATATTATGTTGGAACTTTCTGTATGTTAGAGTTCCACCATAATATGCTGAAAGTTCATACACAGGTGCACCGATCTTCAGTATATTACGCTGGACCGGTCCCTGTTGCAGCAAAATAGTGGCTATTTTTCAATGACGTTACAAACACTGCTATTTTTTAATGACCAGTCCGAAAACTGGCTAGGCCGTGCTATTTTAACGAAAAAGAGGTAAAAATTGCACGGACTGGCCAGTTTTCGGACTGATCATTCAAAAATAGCTAGCGTTTGCTAAGTCATTGAAAAATAACCACTATTTTGCTGCAACAGAGACCGGTCCAGCATAATATACTGGAGTTCGGTGCATCTGTGTATGAACTTTCAGCATATTATGCTGGAACTCCAACACACGGAAAGTTCCAGCATAATATACTGGAGATTCAAGCACTTGTGTATGAACTTCTAGCATATTATACTGAACCGGTATACTTTGCTGGTACTCCAGTATATTATGCTAGAGTTCTAGTGTACTTATGCTGGAACTCCATCATATTATGCTGGAGTTCCAGTATACTTATCCTGGAACTCCAGTATAATATTATCCTGGAACTCTAGCATAATATGATGGAGTTCAAGTATACTTATGCTGGAACTCCAGCATAATATACTGGCATATTTTTTGGGTTTTGAACAGTGTTTTCGCTTATTTATCTTTACATAAAAAGTGGCTAAATTTTGATTACTTTTGAAAGCGTGGCTATTTTTGAATGACCGTTTGTAAATCTAGCTATTTTTGAATTTCTCCCGAAAAAGAGTGTTGGATAAATCCAAGTTTGGGCTAGCCCTGTCCAGCTGAAACCTAACAAAAAAGAAGATTCACAAATACTGGAAGACCAAGCTAGCGTTTGGCCATAGATTCCAAATTTGTTTTGAAAAATTTGATTTGGGTGAAGTTTGATTTGAAGATGAAAATGTGTTTGGACATACGTTTTCAAAACACATTTTCCAACTTTATTTTGGAAAAACATGTATATAATTCCCAGATTTTGGGATTTTGACCCAAAATCAGCAATTGGGGTGATTTTGGGATTTGGGATTTGGGATTTTGCCAAAATGTGGACAAAACTTATCGCCAAACATGAGTTTTGAAAATAAATCCCAAATTTATTTTGGCAAAACTCATGGCCAAACGGACCCAAGACAAAGGTATTGAAAGACTTTTGAAAATATATGGTGCAAAGTGTTTTTTTTTTTATTTACTTGTCAGCATTCTTCATTCAAATAAAATTTTAGAATTTTCATTGCATATATTCTACCTCTGTTGCATTGGCAAAATACCCCAAAATAAATGCAATCGAAAACTTCAAGGCCAAGTTTGAAAGATTTTCGAATATTTTAAGGGAAACCAAACAATACCATTTATTTCCTTTTTCTTCTTGTTGGTAGCAATAACCTGTGTTTTGTTTTCTTTTTCTATTTTGTCTTAAGAAATAAAGTAAAACTACTATTGAGAAATACTAAACCAAAGGTTGGTATTCATGAAACATAAACAAAAACATTCCCATTACATGTCATATTGAACAAAATTATTATTATTTTTAATTTAAAATCTTTATATTTTGGCCATTAAATTTCACCTCGTTTAAAATTGAATACGATTGTATTTATAATAAATTTCTTGCCAAATATTAGAATTTTGGAATTAACTAAAATTTTATACTTTATTATGAAATGCAGCTGAAGACTCCACTTTAGCAAAGGGAAATTTTTGTTCCTATACCATATAGGAAACTATATTATCAAATATGTTCATAATTTGCATATTACCATCATGCTAATAGTATTTCTACAAAATATAGACAATTCATTAAATAAGGAATCATTGTAGCTGTAGGCTTCCTTATTTAGGCGCGCTAATATTGGGGAATTAAATATTCCCACTCCCCCAAGTTTTTCTCTCCAAATCCCACCACCTCACTCACGTATCAAACCACACCCCACGATTTCCTCTTCATTCACCCACGATTTTCTCTTCTAAAACCAGCGAAAATCTGTAACCCTTCCACCATTGACAACCATTAAAAAGCTTTGAAGCTTTGAATTTGAATTTGAGTTTTCAAAAGACATTGTTAGTTTGGATTGGATGTTATTGCAAAGAATTGAGAATTCTCTCAACGTCTCTCTCTATCTCTCAATCCCAAATTTCAGTAATATAAGAGGAAAGGAAAGAGAGCAGCAATTCCACCATTGACAGTCATTAAAAAGCTTTGAAGCTTTGAATTCGAATTTGGGTTTTTCAAAAATCATTATTTGTTTGGATTGAGTGTTGTTGCAAATAATTGGGTGTCACGACCCAAAATTCACTAAGGGTCGTGATGGCGCCGGACACCGCTGTCAGGCAAGCCAACCAAGATACTTAATTTAATTCTTATCTTAATAATTTTGAAAACTAAAATTTTCCTTCAATTCAGCTAGTATAAGATAATCTTTGCAAAAAAATAATTAAAAGAATGTTTAGAAGTAAATACAGAATACCCCGTAATTATCCCAGAACCCTATGTCACAAATGCATGAGCAATTTCTAGGAAATAATGCAATACAACAACCATCCGGAATACAAAATTGGACAGAAAGTAAATACAGTAATCTGAAAGAGACTTTGCTGGCTATGGGTCGTCTCGAGGAGTGCAGCTCACCTAAGTCTTCGTATCAACCTTGCTGCTACGCCCACTAGGCCACTAGAGATGCATGTGCATGTGCAACAAAAATGCACAACAAGTGTAGTATGAGTATGAAAACAACGTGTACCCAATGAGTATCCCGTCTAATCTCGAAGAAGTAGAGACGAGAGGTCGACTTCGACACTTACTAATGGTCCAATAATAGTATTTGTAAAAATGGGAGGAGATCGGGGATTTTATAAAGTAATTATAAACTCATAAAGCCGGATAACAGATAAACAACTTCTCAAATAATGATGGATTTCCAAAGATTTACTTTTCATCATCTTTTATCAATTTATCTCCGGCTAGGAAAGGCAAATATCAACATTTATAAATCTCAGGCAAACAATACAAGCATGTGCATATCATGCCGAGGTCGTACGACCCGATCCAACATAAATGTAAAATGTGCACTGCCGAGGGTCGAACGACGTGAACCATAGATACATCTATTATCCCGCTCGTGAATCATACATGTGACGCGGTCAAATTTAAATAAACAATCATCCTGCTTGCAAATCATACATGCGACGCAGGTACATATAGAAATACATGCTCAAACAACCAATTAAGAATTTATCGGGGAACATTTATCCTTATTCCAATCCTCTTTTAACGATTTAAGAAAATGAAGTTTAATCCTTTTGGAAATTCATTTACCAATTCGATAGGATTTAAGCAATTCAACTGTCAATAAAATTACAGATATTCCAAGTATAGCATGCTTTTATGTCCTAGACTACCCGAACTTACACATAATAGTAGCTACGCACGGACTCTCGTTACCTCGTGCGTACGTAGCCCCCACAAATAGGAGCACATAACCAATTATTTCACCTATGGGAATAATTCCCTCTTACAAGGTTAGAAAGGAGACTCACCTCGCTCCGAAATTTTCATAACCGACTTCCAAGCCCTTCCAACGACTCCAATTGATGCACAACGCCCCAAAACTACTCAAACAATGGGCAAACCAATAAAAATTCACTCTAATACTTGTAACAATTCAAATTATATAAGTTCCCAACTCCGCTCGAAAAGTTGACCAAAATGCCCTCAGGCCCACGTGCCCCGGATTCTGAAATTTCTCGAAGAAAATTGTTACTCATAATCTAAAGATTAAGAATATATTATTTTTACTCCATTCCCTAACAAATTGCGTGGTAAAATCTTGTTTTTTCCAAATTCTAGGTTTTTCATCTACAACCCTTGATTTTTCCTAATTTTCACATGTTAATCTATCCATAATCCATGTATTTAACTTATGATGTGTAGAAATTACTTACCTCTTTGATGATGATGGAATCCCTCCTCAAATGCTCTCAAAAATCGCCTAAGGCCAAGTGGGAAATGAAGGAAATGGGCTAAGTCTCGGGATAAAAAGCCCTAAGTTCCAATCGTAGATGTCGCATTTGTGACATCCGTATCGCAAATGCGATGTCACATTTGCTCGTAAATGCGATGTCACATTTGCGAGACGGATGCGAAGCCTAGCCAACCCTGCCCTGGTCGCATTTGCGACAAGATTCTTCGCAAATGCGAAGGTGACAGCCTCGCAAAAGCGATCCTTCGTTGGCAAATGCGAACTTTCCCCTCAGAAGCCCAGGCTCGCAATTGTGAGCTCCATCTTGCAAATGCGATGATCGCAATTGCGACCATAACATCGCAATTGCGATCATACCAGTACCAGCAATCCTATTTCTTAGCAATTCATTCCGAAGCTATCCCGAATCTCACCCGAGCCCCTGGGGATCCAAACCAAACACCCGCACAAGTCCAAAAACATAACACAGACTTGCTCGAAGCCTCAAATCACATCAAACAATGCTAAAACCATTAATCGCACTCCAATTCAAGTTTAATGAACTCTAAAATTTCAAACTTCTACTTTCGGTGTTCGATTGACCTCAAATTTTGCACACAAGTCATA